GGGCGAGCAAATGGGAGCTGCTCAGGAGTGCACTCCCCGGCCGCTTGGCTCTGCCGCAGGGACAGACAGCCCTCACACGTCTGCTCCCTCCAGGAGGCGAACACTGTTGGTGACAGGGGCCACGTCCTTGCCTCCTGCTACCAGGTTACCGCGGGCAGACGCACACCTCGCGGGCGTCCACCCAGCCACCAGGGTGCCCGCCTTTCGAGTTTAGGTCGGACCGACGCTCCCACGTCGCTCTGGGAGCTTCAGCTCGGCCACAAGCCGTGGACAGCCTCCCACAGCGGTGAGTGCGGGGCTCTCATTCTGTCTTCCACTGGCTGGCATGTCAGTTTGCACTTTTTCTTTTTCTAAAAAGGCACAATCTACTATCCTGTTTCATTGACCCTCAGCATGCATTCCACCCACATTGAGAAATCCCGGTCACATCCGTAAAGAATCTCAGGGGAGCCAACTCAGAAACCTAACTGGGTGAAAGAGAGCAAGCCAAATATTAGAAAAGTCAACTTCCCTGTATAGTCCCTGTGCTTTTGTATTTGCATTTTTATAAGGAGCATGTTTTTATATATTACTGGTATACTTTTTATTTAGTTTTATTTTATCATTTTAGGGGAAGACGAAGCGGGGAGAAGAGAGAAAGAGAAAGACTGAAGTGAGAAACGTCAATCGGCTGCCTCCCAGGCACACCCGAACCGGGATCGAACCCGCAACCTCTCGGTGTTCAGGATGGCGCTCCGACCAACTGAGCCACCCAGCCAGGGCTGGAGACTTTTTTTGGTTTTTTTTTTAAAGGAGAGGGTTACTTGTATACTTTTTAAGCAATAAAAAAATTTTATTTCAATGGAAATGGTACATTAACTTAACAGTTCTTTTGCTAGGAATGCTACGTGTGGGACGAGGATCAGCAAACAGGATCAGCAAACGCGTGCTGTTCTTTAACCTTTGAGAGCGGACCAGGCATGCGCTCTCTGCTTTCACGCTTGTGTTAGAGGAGGCGGCGGACACAAAGGAACGAAGCCATGTCACGTAGGGTGAGAGAGCTGACACTTCCCTGAAGCCAGGGAGCTGACGGGAGAGCTGACAGACGAAGGGCACCTCTCAGAGCAGGGCAAGGCGCGAGCGCGGCCGAGGGGGCCCCGGCAGGGGGCCGCTCGGCAGCCCCTCCCCTCCGCACACAGACGCAGGGAGTCAGGGCAGCGGGCACTAATCGTCAAGCAAAAATAAACAAGGCCATGACAGCTCTTCTCTGAAGACATTAAACCACCCACGCTGGTGAGTCGAACGCATTTTAGCCATCACCTTGGCGTCTCACCTCCCCGCTCTCACGTCCTGAGCACCCAGTTAGGGTTGTCACTGGGGAGATGCCCCCCGGGTTCCATGGACCTTCTTTCTTAAATAAGGCCCAAGCAAACACCAAGATATTAGCAGATCCAGCAGCGTGAGAGAGAAAGACCAAGAGACACAGATGCCAAAAAGAAAAAAAAAATCTAGTGGAGAAAAAGACAATCAGGGAATAGGAAAAAACCTCGCTCCAGGAGATTTAAGAAAGATTTTTTTTTAAAACCAGACGAGGTTGATTTGGGGGGAAAAAAATCAGAGAAGCAATTACAGATTTAAAATAGGATAACTGAAACAAAATGTTCAAAAGATGAGTCATAAGATAGAGATAATCTACCAGAGCACAGGATAAACAGAGAGAAAATGGGAAGGAAGAGATAAAACCCAGAAGCCCAGCGCGCCTACACGAAGGCCCAGGAGGGAGGGCGGGGGGAGCGCGGAAGGGCCGAGGAACGCAGCCGCTGCCCCGCCGCTGCAGCACTCGCCCCCGACCGCGGGGCGCTCTGATGGGAGTCCCTGGCCTTCCCGCCCAGCACTGGGGGGTGGTATACTCAGGAAGGGGCGTTGGGGGCCAGAAAATGACAAGTGACTTCCAGTTTTTGTTCTCGTGATGGCACCAAGGAAGCCAGGACCACAGAGCCTGCTCCGCTCGCACGCCCGGGACAACCGCTCTGCGTGGCCGTAAGCAGCACTGACGTGGGGCAGGCGGGAGAAAGCCCTTTGGCTCCGGCTTGGCACTCAGGGCCTGCCTGCGGCCCCCACCTCCACCCTCTCGGGGCCCAGTGGTTCAGCGGTCGCCCTGGCACCCGCCCCCCAGGCCGCCGTCCGTCGGGGCTCCTCCCGATGGCCCGGGCGAGCGCCTGGCTGGTCGGCCCTCTGCCTTTTCCAGAGCGCCCGGCAGTCCACATCAGAGGGCTCCAAGAGTCCACGTTTGTGCCCGGGATGCCGGTCATGGCCGACGGACACAAGAGTGGACTTCTGAGCAACCTGAAACAGCCAGGCTTTCCAGCCCAGAAAACTGGAAATTGGTCTGGCTAGAGAGAGAGCGCAGTCTTTCGGCTTCAAGCTGGAGAGGACAGCCGTGAGAGCCCACAAAGGGAAAAGGACGGGGTTGAAAAAGGCACAAAAGAGGAAGTCCAAGATGAAAGGCTCAAAAGCATGTTTTTCAACCAGCAAGAACTATAATGTAGGCAAAGGCAGATTCACTGGCAACTTGCAAGCTTCAAACGAAGATGCGGTTGAGGGAAGCCGTCAGTCATGGCTTCGAGCCGCAAGGGCACGTGAGGACTCTCAGGAAGGGACGAGTTACCACGTGTGGCCCCACACAGCCAAGTGTGCCACACACCGAAAGACCTGCACGAGCCTCCCAGTTAAAACAGACGTGAGATACGGAGACTGTGAGAATAACGCGTCACGTGTGGGATCACGGCGGAAGGAATACAAAGTTGGGTCGGGCAGGGCATATAGTATGGGCTCACTGAGACGAGACTGTGAACTCCACGTTTACCTCTAGGGGACGGACGGGATCTAACAGTGTGCCCGGCCAGCTGACCCATGGCCTGTTCTCGCTGGACTCCACGCAGTGGAGCCGACGCCTGCCCCGTCTGCAACAGAGCGCGCCTCGGTGTGCTAAAAGGTGGGCACCCGAGGCTTAGGGGTATTGTTTCATTCCCTCTCTTGTCCCCGTCCCATCTCTAACATAAGGTGCATTCACGACAGTTAGCTTTGCATCACAGAACCTAAGTTACAGGGCCCAAGACCGGGAGCGTGGGCCGTGCTCTCCCAGCCCGGGCCAGCACGCTCGGCAGCGGTAGGGACAGCCGCGCAGGCGGGGAGCTGTGCCTGTCACTGCCGCAGAGAGGAAGGCGAGCTAGAGGCGGCGGCGAGACAAGGGAAGACTGTGCTCTGTGTGTCACCAACAAGGCCCGGTCCCTGGTGTGAACTACTGACCCAGGAATTGCTATGATGGTGTTTCGTAGATAGGACAGCCCAGAACCAGGCTTCCGGTCTCAGCTCTGACCTGGGAAGAGTCTGGAAGCCCTCAGTCCCCTCCTTACAGGAAAAAGAGCTAGAGAAACTGAAAAATCTATGACTCCTCAGGGGCCTATCAAAGACCTGAGGCTGTGGGGCAGAGCGCCGCCCTGAACGCCCTGAACTCCGGGGACGTGCAAATCCGGGCGGCGCAGGGAAGGCCCGCTTACCTGGAGAAGGAACCTCTGCGGCCACACGGGCAGGAGCGCTCCTGCGGCTGCCCAGAGGCAGGGAGAGCGGGAGGCTGCAGGAGCCGCGGCCCGGCGGGCAGAGGCGCGCCCTCTCCTGGGCACTCCTAGAGCCCTACCAGCTTCTCAGGTGAAAACCAAGATCGAATCCCCTCCCAGCCCTGGGAGGGAGGAGACAGGAACAGCCGTCTTGAAATACCCCCAGATCTTTCTCCAGAACAAAGGCCTCCCCGCTCCCCTCGCCCCCGCCCCCCGCCCCAGGAGAAGCCTCTTCCAGAGCCTTATTCACCTAGAGGGAAAGAAATCGGTTAAATAAGTTACATCACAAGCAGGGACGCTAATCCCTCCCTCTGCCAAAGAACTTTTTAAAAAGCCAATGAGTCATCATTACGAGCATCTGAAATAAACTCCTTTTCTACAGCAAGCTCCAGCCTAGTCACCATCTGCTCCCATTTCCAATGCGACTTTTTACACAGCTCTCCTCTTGGGTCTTCAGCTTTAAAAGGCCAGGCGCTGGCGTCAACATTCTTTAAAGAGATGCCTATAATAGGCTGTTCCTGCTTTCTCTGAGGACATTTATTTGTTCACAGCATTTTTAGATATTAACCATTTTTGTGATTTTTTTCCTCAACAATAGGTTTCTTGTATTATGTTTCAAAGATAAAATCCTACCAGTATTCTTATGAGGGCTTTAAAATACACATAAGCAGCCCTGGCAGGGTGGCTCAATTGGTTGGAGCATCATACTGTACACCAAAGGGTTATGGGTTCAATGCCCAGTCAGGGTACATATCTAGGTTGCAGGCTCAATCCCTGGTCGGGTCGTGTGCAAGAGGCATCCGATTGATGTTTTTCTCCCTCTCTTCCTCTCTCTAAAATCAGTAAACACATCCTCAAGTGAGGATTTTAAAAAACGTTAAAAATAAACGAATAAAACACATGCAAGAAAACTGTACTAGTACTTGCGGGCAAACATGAGGATTGAGGGATAAGGAATTCGTGGGGAAATTCTACATCCTTTCTAGAACACCTCTTCAGCTCCCTCTGCTGGCTACCACGTAAGTAGACTAGGAAGAAAACGCAACCTTTTTCTTTGGGGAGGTGCTGGGATGCAGGAGCAAGCTGACAACGCTGTCGGTACAACCAGAAAGGAGGTTCTCCTAAGGCGAGTCTGATCACTGCCTACCTTCCCTAATTAGGCTTTAGGATGTCCAAACAGATGTGGCCGTGAGTGGCAGGTTTAAAATAAGGGAAGTTCTTGTCAAGTCTAAATATGCTAATCATTAAATCGATATGCAAAACTACAAAAGCATTTAATATAAAATAAAGCAACTATAAACAGTTATTTAACACTAGAAAAATTAAGAATTTAAATGTTTCACAAACTTCACTGGAATGAAAAGTTTGTAACACACTAATCTATTAGTTTCAATATTAAGGTTTATTTTTTTTTCTTCCAGAGTGAGGTTAACAATTTAAATAATTATCAGGATGTATAAATGAACATCCATTCAGATAAAACATTACTGCTTAAAAGTGGCTAAGAAATATTTTGCATGTAATAAATATATTTAATGTCTAGGTTAACAGGCACCATCTTGAGAGCAGAAAAGTGTTTTTTATAACCAATAAATAAATTACATTCAAGAAAACAAGGTGTTTATATCTGAAATATCATATATCCTTAAATGTTTTTCTTAATATAGCACCCAAACTTCCAAACTGTCTAGAAAGTATCTCCCAAAATATAACTCATACCTTAAGTCATAAAAATAAAGGCCAAGAAAAAAATCAATTTAAGAGAAAATTTACAGTTTATATTAATTCCCCATTCAATAAAATATCAATTGCCAATTTGTTAAAAGTAAATGAACTGTATATACGCAATGCATTAGTGCTGAAAATCTGAAATATATATTTTTAAAAGTCATTCTTTCTCGAAGTACTTAAAATATTGCATCTCTGGTGGCGAACCTGAAAATTATCAAGCATTTTATTTCCCTAGTTTTCATACTTCTGCTCCCATCCCTACCCCTTTAACCTTTAACAGTCATTCAGCTTTTTTTGCTTTTTTCTTTGTAAATACACTTTCTTATATCCCAAACACAAAACACTGACAAGACTCCTCGGGAACCAAGGAACCCCCAGAACAGTCCAAGACCACAGCTCCGCTCCCAAAGGGCGGCCCAGGCTCCGGGACGAGGGCCCCGCCGGCCCCCGCGGACGCGGGCAGAAGGCTCCGCAGAGTCCACGGCTGTCTGAGAATTCGCTGATGCAATCCTGAAGGAAGTTCCAACACATTCTGCAGACAAATATCAGAGAATAAGTCTTTGATTGATAATTTTTCTATTTATTTCTGCCAAGGCGACTGAAAACACGAAAGCCTTTTCATCAGAGAGGTTAGCATAGATGTCAATTTCCTTTTCCTGTTTTTCTGTTAAAAGAAAAAGGGAAGGAAAGCTTAATATAAAGGCAGCAGATGCAGTATTTTTGTCTAAAAATGTAAAGCTTTCAAATATTTCTTTAAATGACAATCTCATACAGGATACTCCAATGGACATTAAATGTTACAAAGTATTATGCTACTGAACTAAAAATTTTTTAAATATGACAAAGGAGTTACTGAAATGTCATGAACTGCATTCTACATTCTAAAGACTAAATGAAAACCATATGTATTTCTATATACCATTTGCTTTCTACATCATTTCTGTAAGAATCTCAAATACTTCTCTTCACTAGTATGAGCCAATCAAAATGTCTCAATCAAAAATGGGTTTTCTCACCCTAAAGACAGTCCCTCCTGAATGTCAACGGTGCCTTTATGACTCTATTAACTTCCTCACCTCAGCCTTTCTACCAAAAATAAGAATAACCAATATTTATTTGTTTTTCCTCTCCTGATTCCAAATGCATTCCAAGTTCATGGTAGAAAAATTTTAAAATACAGACAAAACATACATCACCTATTTCATAAACCAGCTAAAATCACAATCAACATCTTTATGCACAGTCTTCCCATTTTTTTTCAGGCTCTACCGTGATTGTACTTTTGTCTTTTCGTTGTTGTTGTTGTTTTGATTTTTAATCCAAGTTAAACATGCATATGCCTTACAGTCAAATCACTTTTACAGAGCTTGTTACCAAAACCAGAAGTCTCTCCCCGACGCACGTGTCCCACTCTCAGATGCAACCACGTTGTTTTTCCACTTGTTTCTTTTTGTTTTTACCTCTCTTTCTCTCAGCAACCTTTTTACATGATGCTACTGCTTGGTTTTTTGGCTTTAGGCATTATTAACTGACTTTCCACAGTGGGAAACTAAAGTTTTATTGCTTTTCATCTCTTGTCCCCCACCACACGCTTCTCTCACATCTGCCCATTATAGTTCTATCACAATTATGGTGACATTACTAATCAATGTTTACATTATTATAACTATGTAAATGATTTCACTTCTCGTGCACACTGTCTTCCCTGAAAAGATTCTCTTTTTACATCTGCTTAATTTTCATTACTAACTGAACCCAAACTTTCTCCTTGTATAAAACTTTCAGAATGTTTATACACATTAAGTATTATATCGATTTTATCTTCTTGAAGAAGTATCTCCAAGTCTTCTGATCGGCTCCAATCTGAAATGGCTGCTTTCTAGGCCTGCTGCACAATTACCACCGTGAGCTCGCTCTCTAGTATCATGCTGGAGATTCTCCTCGTCTCTCTCTCAAGTTGGACCCTGTGTCCCAGATCCCAAGATACTGTCTCGCTTTACTTCTTCATTTTGATGGCATGTATCTGGCAGCAGCTCTCTGAGAAAGGGAGTACAGGCAGCAGAGTTTTGAGACCCTGGATGCTGGAACATGTCTTTAGTCTACCTTCACTCTAATTCACAGTGTGGTTGACTAAAGACTAACAGATTTCTTCTCAGTATTGTGAAAGCAAACCACTGTTTTCCATCAGCTGATGCTACTGTTAAGAAAACCCAATACCCTTTTTAATAGATTTTTTTTAAATTATTGCTGAATTTACAGGAAAATATGTAGACCTTAAGCGTGTAACTGGAGGGGTTCTGATAAACACATGTCCATGTGACCCACATCACAGCCAGGATACAAAAATCCCTCAGGCCCCCGCCCTGCCAGCCCCTCCCCAGCAGGGTGATGCTGATCCTAGTGCCCTAGGAGCTTGCTCTTGAACTTCGTATCAATGGCATCGGATAGCATGTACTGTTTCACGTCTAGCTTCCTTTACCATGTTCTTGAAATTCACTGATGTTGTTCATATGAGTAGTTTGTTCCACTGTATTAATTCTAATGCCGTATTGATTCTTTTGCCTGTTTTCTCTGAACGCTTGAAGGAGTTCCCTTATTTAACTAAGCAGACATGACTTGTGGTAACACGCTTTGGCAGAACCTCCCCTTTTAGCCAGCCCCTGGCCATGCAGCGGGTCGACAGGAACACCCTGTAAAGTCCTCCAGGTTCGGGAAAATTTCTTGAGTTACCTCACTGACGACGCCCCCCCCCCCCCGACGCTCTTCAGCGGCGATGCCAATTACTTAGAGATGCTGGCCTCACACCGGTCCTTTGAATCTACCTTTCCCATTCTAGTTTTTTTATATCGCTTTTCCCTACTGCTCTACATTTTGGTACATTTCTTCAATTCCATATATAAGCCATTATGTGTTGTTTTTTTTTTAATTTCTGTAAATCATGTAACTACATATATACTTTTTTTTGAGAATCGTATTTTCAAGTTAATTTTCCAAGTACTTTTGACATCTGCAATTTCCTCTTTAAATATCCTTTTGTTCTTGTTTTATGACTACATCTTCACTAAGAATATTTATGAGAGTCTTAACTTTTTCTTCTCCACGCAAAAACTTGTTTTATCCCAGTTCTTTCCTTCCCTGCTGGTTTAGTCTTAGCCTTCCATACCAGATGCTTCCTCCCATGGGTCTGGGTAGTGCTCGGTGACACACTCACACTGAGGCGGGACCCAGAAAGCGGATTAGCTCCCGCACACACGTGGAGCCTGGCTGCGGTCAGCACTTCAGGATGTTCTGACTGGGCCACTTTTTCGTGCAATCCTTAATGAAATATCTTTCTGTAGGCCTTTTCTCTTAGGCTCTTCGGAGTCCCTAGGGAAGAGACTTCTGATCTCTTCCCTGGAAGATATAAAACCGACCTGGAGAACACAGCATCTACCATCTCCCATTCCCACCTGTTCCTCCGGACCTTAACGCAGTGCCCTCAATGGAGCCTGGCGTTCCCCAGACTGTCTTTGTCTTACCTTTTTCAAAGGATACATGTGGAGAGAGGGGAGGGCAGGACACAACAGCCTTGACAGGATATTTTGAACAAGAGTCTTTCAGACAGTATCGTTTTTAGCTCCACTTTCACCACTACACTTCCGGATATAAATGATACACTAACTCATCTTAAGGCAGTTGCGTAATAAATATGAGTTTCTTTCTTAGCTTTCTTTCCCCAAAAGAACTTAGAATTTAGGCTTCATAGGTATGCTCAGGCAGTTATCATTTTCCAGAATTTTACTGCTTCTCCCATTCCTTGTACTTGTGGGATTTTGCCATTTTTGAAAATATCCTTTTACTAGGATTTGGGGAGTGCGCAGAGCTACATGTGTTTATTCAATCCACTATCTTTAACTTGAACGTCTACATGAATTCTACATGTGCATTAATAAGATATTCAGTACTGCCCAAAATATTTTAGTCAAAAATATCACATTACTAATATCCAGAGTAATCATACTCTCCACATATAAAATGAACTTATGTTAAACCAACCAAAAGTTGTTATGTTTAATGAGAATTTTTTATGGTGTTATAAAGAGGAGTTATCTGGATGTATAACAAGCTTTCATTTTCTACGCTTTCTTCTTCCTATTCTTTTTCAAAGTAGAGAAAACAAGAATTGTGATTTTAGACATACTGTCAGGCAGTCTTTATTAAAATAATGGTAATCTTTGCTTCAACTGTTTCAAGTGCCCTATGCTCAGGGAGTCCATAAAAACTAAAGTAAATAGCTATGTAACACTAAGAAGCATATCGAAGAGGTCTATGCCAAAATATATAGACACTTGAGAAGTCCTGTTTCCTCTCTGCATTATATTCTGAGAACCTGCTCTGCCACAAGGGCTAGGCAGCACAGCCCAGGGGACAGCCTGGCCGCCACCTGTTTTTATCAAGTCTAACTGGCACCCAGCCATGCCCGTACATTCACATATTGGCTGTGGCTGCTTTCCAGCTACAATGACAGAGCAGAGTAGCTGTGACAGACGGGATGTCCCACGAGGCCTGATTTATTTATCTGGCTGCTCTTTACAGAAGCAGCTTGCTGACCATTCCTCCTCCCCACCCAGTCTATATTAAAAAGCTGTTTATTCTACAAAAGTTGCTTTGACCGCTTTCTTGTTTGTACTGAAAGCAAATAAATTAAAACATACTTTACTCTTAAGTTAGTATAACTTTTTTACAATAAACTAAAAATATGTGGAAAAAGGCAGAGCCAAGCGCGTGCTCCGTTCTCCACGGGCACACGACACAGAGGCCGACTCGGCCCCCGACTGAGGCCGCCGCCGTCTTCTCGGCCTCGCGCCCTCCGCCAGGAGCGCTCCTCCTCCATCCTTTGGGTTAGGGTCCCTTTACTTCAACGGAAAAGAATGTTCTGCTTTCCGGGCCAAGCACTATTTCCCCCTCTCCTTTTTTCTGTTGACTTTTCATTACCTAGTTTCCCTTCTGAAAGTCTTTAGCACAGATTTTCTGAACATCCCACTGTTAAAGCAACACATTCAAATGGAGAAAATAACTCAAACTCTCGGGAAGAGCAGCATAACAGAAGGAAAAAACAGTGGAATGACCCAAGGAATTAATGAATATCTAAGTACAGTCTTCATAGAATACAGTCAGACACAATATAAACCTTATACCGTATGCCTTTAGCCATACAATATTAAATCTTTACTTTGACAAAAGTTAAGAACAGCTCTACCAGTGACGTCATTTTCCCTAGCAAGAGTAACTTTTCAGATTAAAGCAGAGGAAAGTGGTAAACAGGTAAAAAATTCTCAATGTCTACAAAAAGAGAAATTTACACTTATTCTTGAATACTTGAATACCTAAGAATGAATACCTGAAAAAGTAGCGCACATTTCACAAATAATGTGAAATTATAAAAAGCATTTCACTGAAGAAATTCTTTTGATAGAAGTTTTAAAAGAATTACGAAGAGCAACTATCCCTTTTTTCCATTAACTACTAGCTCGAAAGCCTTAATTTAAAAAAGATATTTATGGGCATGGGGGATTCACTACACTAGTCTACTTTTGTGATCATTGACATTTTCCATGATTAAGTTTTTTTTTTAAAGATGTATAAATCTCTAATAGTCCCCCATGCCAGAGCAAACAGTGGTTTTCAACTGGTGCCTGGCTTCCACCCATAGGATGCAGGCTCTGAACCAGGTTACGCAGCAGGGAAAAAAATAAAAAAATAAAAGATGTATAAATCAAAGAAAAAGAGAAGTTCAAGTTTTAGTTAATAAGTAAAAACAGCCCTGGCTGGTGAGGTTCAGTGGACTGAGCGCCAGCCTGCAAACCAAAAGGTCACTGGTTCGATTCCCAGTCAGCGCACAGGCCTGGGTTGTGGGCCAGGTCCTCAGTAGGGGGCGCGTGAGAGGCAACCACACATTGGTGTTTCTCTCCCTCTCTTTCTCCCTCCCTCCTCCTCTCCAAAAATAAATAAAATCTTAAAAAAATAATAATTAAAAACAAGTCAATTGGTTGGAGCATCACCCCAATGCGCCAGCACTGCGGTTCCATCCCTAGTCTGGCACGCACAAGAATCAACCAACAACTGTGTAAGTGGAGCAACAATCAATGTTTCTCTCTCAATGAACATTTTTTAAAATTTTTTAAAAACAAGTTACTGGTAATACTAAAAAGGGAGACCTCTAAGGGGAAAGATGAATACATTCTGGACGAAGAAGAATTTATTTGACTACCCAAAAAGCTGCCTCAAAGTAGGGAGCACACAATGAGCAATTAAAAATTCATAGTTGGTTGGGTATTGTTCCACAAAGCAGAAGGTCGCAGGTTTGATTCCAGGTCAGGGCGTGTGCCTGGACTGCAGGTTCAGTCCCCGGTTGGGGCGCAAAGAGGAGGCAACCAGTCGAGGTTTCTCTCTCACATTGATGCTTTCTCCCTCCTTCTCCCTCTCTTCCCCTCTAAGTGTAAGTAAGATCTTTTTTTAAAAATTCATACTGAAGAACATTTTTACAGTAAGGTGAATATTACCTAATTTAAGCCTTTAGTTTTCCAATAATAATTAAATTTCTTTTTTTTTAAACAATCATCTACCTTAGATGAAACTCTTTCAAACTAAAATATGAGTGGTCATTTTAAGTCCAGGAGTTCAATGCCTGTCAAACACTTTCTTCACTATCTAATTAAGGTCTTAGAAAAATGTAATTGGAAAAAAGCTGCTTGGATTTATGCATACCTCTTTCTTCCTCATGTTTTTTGGCAGATGCACTTTTAGGTCTTCCTCTTCCTCGTCTGATATGATCTGAATGGCTGTTACTTCGAGACCTCTTTCTGTTCTCTAAATCCTTATTTCCTGTAGAATTTATCTTCTCTCTCCTAACTCTCTCTGTGCGCCTCCTCTTGGCCTCATGCTTGTTTTCTGTATGGATGAATAAAAGTGATATATTTTAGGGCTTAGCAAGAACTGTTTGCCCAAGTCTCGCTGTCCTCTTTTTTCTTTCTAAAAGCACTAGAGTCTGCTGCCTGGAGAACTTTATTAAACTGCCGTACAACCATGACATCTATGCATCTCACATCCACATGGAAAGAAAAGTTCACCAGAATGCAGATGGTCCACATTCACACACGAGGCAGGGGGAGCCTTGTAACAGAAGACACTTCATTTGGCACCTTTAATTTCAGCCTCTACAAGTCTGCACAATTCCACAGCAATCCTTCTGCCTTTTTCTCTCTGCTTCCAAGTTAAAAATGGTAAAGTATTAGAAAAGTAAAAAAAACAAAAAAAAACAAAACCCAAAACCATTCTTCTTTGCCACTATCCAAATTACAGATTGAAGTATGTCAAATATTCAGAAGCAAAACTGATCTTTACCATATTATATTAAGGTTATCAATAAAAAGCAAACAGAAAGCATCCAGAGAAAATATAAAAACACTAGAAAAGTAGTTTTCCCTTTAAGCCAGAGATGAGGTCATTTCTGACATTCTAAGAACATGATGATCCCTAAATGGAATAGCAACAGAGGAACTTTACTCAATATGGAGATGTAATTTATACAAAAAATCACCCTCTCCAAACAAATTAAAATGGTGGATAAGACAGGCAAAATTTAAAAAAAAAAAAAAAAAACTTGCTTTAATACCTATCTGACCTCAAAAGTAAAAAAGATGATTTCACAAATTCTTAAAATCACAGTGGAAAATCACAGGCAAAACAGTAAGAAAGAAAATTCACATCCCCAAAACTAAAGGGAACAATTTAAGAGACTATCTCTAAGTATGTTTATTAGGCTACTGTAAAATCTTTTAAAATTTTAAAGTGAAGTAGTAATAGTTGTTGCCAAATACGATATCCTTGAAGAATTAGTTAATTTTGTCTCAGGTTAGGCACACACCATACGATGCAAGAACATTTAGTTACCCCAGCCTGCAAGACAGCCGTCCAAGACAGCCGGGGCCCCGATGAAAGACACGAAGGCCGACCTAAAAGCGCTCCCGCTGACCGTTACAGGGCAACATGAACATCAATAAAAAACAGTAACTATAATAAATTAAAGTACAGCGAATAAATATACTTAAACCACATGACATTAACTACATAAACAAAAGCGGAAACGACGTGACCGCTGTAGGAGGACGCTGAAGACCCAGCTCACTATTTTGAAAACTTAAAAGAATAAAGCATTTATCCTGCCTTTCCCATTGGGTAACCACTCAATGAATAACCAAAGGACACACAGAAGTTTCTCACTTTAGAATTACTGTAGCTAAACATGAAGAAGGAATGATAAAATCAGAGTGTCATCATTTTAAACCTGAAACGGACTAAAGAATCTAAGTGCTAAATATCACATACAAAATATTATATACAAAAATTAACTCAATGAATTGCAGACTAAACGTAACAGCTAAAACTACATTTAATACTTATCAAAAAAAAGGAAAAGCTTCATGACATTGGATTTGACAATAGTTTCTTGGCTATGACACCAAAAAAACAGGCAATGAAAAAAACAGACAACTTAGACTTTATCAAAGTTAAAAACTTTTCTGCATCAAATGACACTACCAGCAGAGTAAGAAGGCAAATCAGGAATGAGGCAAAATATTTGTAAATACAGATGAGGAGTTAATATCCAGAATAAAAAGAACTACTACAACTCAACAACAAAAATCAACCCAATTAAAAAATGGGGAAAGACCCTGAATAGACATTTCTTCAAAGAAGGCATACGAGTGGCCAATAAACATATAAAAAGATGTTCAACATCACTAACCATTAGAGAAATGCAAATCCAAATCACAAGGTATCACTTCATACCCCTTAAAATGGCTACGATCAAAAGCACATAAAACAGTGAGTGTTAGTAAGGATGCGGAGAAATCGGAGCTTCCACGCACTGCCAGTGGCGCTGTGAAGTGCAGCCACTGTGGGAAACAGGGCAGTTCCTCAGAAAATTATCAGAATTACCAGATGATACAGAAATTCCACTTCTGCACATATAACCAAAAGAAATGACAACAGCGAATCTAACATATCTGAACACCCACCTTCACAGCAGCATTACTCATAAAGCCAAAAGGCAGAAGCAACTCCAGTGTCCATAGAAGCACGAATAAACAAAATAATTTTCAGGAAGGAAATTCTGACACATGCTACAACATGGATGAGCTTTAAAAACACGAGGCTGACTGAAATAAGCCAGACACAGAAAAGGACAAATACTGTCTGACTCCCCACACAGGAGGGAACTGCAATAGTAAAACTCACAGGCGCGAAGAGCGCCGCGGCTGCCTGGGGCGGGGCGGGGGCAGGGGAAGGGGCTCCGCCCGGGCGGCCCCCGGCTTCTGCTTGGGGAGACGGAGGGGCCATGGTGACGGCTAGGGGTGCACTTAACGCCCCTGACCTGTGCACTTAAAATGATTAAAATACTCAATTTTATTATGTAAATTTTACCACAATAAGATATGAAAAAATAAGATCTGATGAAAAAGAAATTAGAAAACAAGATGAACTGCTAAAAACTGAAGTGCAAAAGACATACATACTAAATAAAAGACAATGTCTGCAGACAGTGTTATAAACCGAGGGAAGGAAATCAATGAAATCTCCGAGAACACAGCAGAAAGACCAAACGAGAGGAAACGGGACAGTCCGTGAAGGGACACGAGCGCGCGGCCCTGGGAACCCAACACCGCTCCTGTAGGACGCAGCGCTGTGCCCGGCCTTCGCTCTCCCCTCCCCGTTAAGAACTGAGTCCTGTTCTGTTCAAGAGCGCCACGTGCCCAGCTAAAACACACACATTCCAAAAGAAGAAAATGAAAATAAAAATAAATAACACATACACACACATTCCAAGACTCCTGCAGGTGAAGTGGTTATGGAATTTAGTTCTGGCCAAGGACATGTACGTGGAACTGAGTAAGGCTTCCAGCAAGATTTTTTAAGGGGGTAAGAATGGCTGTCACGCCCCTTGTCCCTCTGTCCCTCCGTCCCTCCCGCACCCCCGTCCCGCCTGGAATGCCCACAGGGAGCCTCGGAGGTGCCGCCTCGCGGCTGGCCGAACGCCGCACCTCGGGGTGGAGGGAGCAGAACCCAGGGCCCTGGTGCTGGCACAGAACCCCCAGTCGCGGAGCGCCAGCTTCCCCCCTCGTCACTCACTGGGGACGGTGAACAACCTGTCCAGGCCACTGTCACCCAGGTCTGTGGTGGATGGTGACCCTCCTCTATCATCCGATGAGCACGTCAGAAGGGAAAGAAAGGACAATGGGGAAAAATAAAAAAATAGGAAAAAACTGCCTTAGGCTGAATCCGTGAGCATTCCACGGGAAGGACGAAATGCCAAGGGAAGAATGGGAACATTTACGTGCCAGTGCAGAGCAAAGGCATTCTCCACATGCAAGATGGGAAATGTACACCACGTGTTTGTCTTGAAAATTTTCCCAGGTCTGAAACAATTTCTGCAAAATCTGTTCCAGAAATAAAAACACATGGGTTAAAAACAGGGCGCCTAAGAACAAGCGGGAGTCCCCCTGGGGGACAGTGGAAGGGAACCTGAGCATCACCAACAGCTGCACCGCAGCAACTGACGTCAGCCTCCTCCAGAGGCCGGAGGGTTCTATTCAGAAAGGCCTTAAAGGTGAACAGAGACCGTTACAAAAACTCTGTGATTAGGAACCTAAAAGTGCAGGCACAGAGGTGAAGGATACAGTTTTTCATCTAAAAGTGCAGGCACAGAGGTGAAGGATACAGTTTTTCATCAAAGGGCAAAATAAAAATGGTATGATAGCCATGTTCCACACTGTAGCAATTTTAAGTGATTAGTATGTAGGAAACAACGTTTTTTGAAACAACAAAACCAAACTTTCATTGTCAAGTATTCAGAGTAGAGGGAGAATCACTGATTATGAATGGTCAATTATTATGGGTTTATAAAAGATACTGACAAAAATATTTCTCCGTTTTTTTTTCCTTTATCTTAAAGTGAATGTCATTTGTAGACTTCTTTGCTTATTAGCCTTTGCCTGTTATTTTCTGTAACCGATTCTGTTTATTTATATATATATTCAGCCAAAGTTCCATATATTTCTAGTGTCCTACCTCCCTATTTCTATGTATGTTATGAAGATTTAAATATATTAAGTATTGCCCTGGCTGGTGTGGCTCACTGGTTTTAGCACCGGCCTGCGAACCAAAGGGTCGCCAGTTCAATTCCCAATGTAGGGCACATGCCGGGGTTGCAGGCCAGGTCCCCAACTAGGGGTGCGATAGGGAACCGATGTATCTCTTGCACATGGACGTTTCTCTCCCTCTCTTTTTCCCTCCCTCCTCTAAAAATAAGTAAATAAAACCTTAAGAACTCTAGATTCTAGGTTGTGCGCATTTAAAACAGCCGGCAACTACTGTCAGACTGCTGTCCAGAAAGGCGGTGCCAACCTCAGCTCACCCCGCTGGTGTGGGTACTCGATCTGCCCTCTCCTGAAAGCACTTAGAAATCCATTTTTGTCAGAATGTTGGCAAAAAGAACGGTGTTTTAGTTTAACTGTATTTCCCTGATTGTTAGAGAAGTTGATTACCTTTCCAGATACTATATATTATCCATTTTCATTTCTTCTATAAATTCTCTGCTATGTAAACTGAAACGTTCTAGATCCCATTGACAAGTACTTGGTAAATTACAAAGATTTTAAAAACTATATTCTTCTAAATTCCCTATATACTATGGATTACCCATGGCAAATCTTAAGACATTTTATTGTAAAAATGAGTATATGACCGAGCTTTGTGTCTGTTAGACATTTTCAAAAGCACCTCATCTAGACTTCAGTCCTCTAAGGCTGGTATTATGAACCTCCCTGATGCACCAGTAAACAGCAGCGGCTCTCGGAGGTGAGTCACCTTGTTACAGTGACAGAACTGGAGTCTGAACCTGAAGCCGGGTCTTCCGGCCTCCACGTCTGTACTACATTGAACTGTTTTCCAGGCTTCGAATATTCTCAGCCCTTCTCCTTGAAACCCTTTCCTCCCTGGTTTCTATGGGTACAGTCTATCCCTGCTGCTTCTCTGTCCTCTGTAAATATTCTTCCTGTTTCTTTTGCTACTTTGCTCTTTTTCCTCCCTGGGATTTCTAGGCTTCATCTTCCCTTGAAGGTCACAAGGCCACTCCCACTATAAACCAACAGAATCTTAGGAAACTCCCAATGTAAAATAACAAGAACTGCTTCTCACCCATCACCATGACTTGCCTAGCGCCACCTCCGCTGGCTGTGCCCTTACAGGAGACATTTCTCAGTTGCCCTGACCTCCCCACCCACTTCAACCCAGTAAGACCAGAGCTTCCCAGAGTTCGGCTCTCGAACTCCTTCCTTTTCCTCCCCTACAGACTCTCTAGCACAAGTTCCTCCATTTCCATGAAGTCAACTACCATCTATTTGCTGATGGTTTTATACGTCCAAGCGGGGAACACATCCATGGATGACATTTCACAACTACTGTACATCCAAAACTAAATTCTTCACCTTGTCTTCTTTTACGTTCCCTTTCTAACCAGTATCCAAGTCTGAAATCTGGGAGCCATTCTAAATTCTTCCCTCTGGTTCAAATGACTCTGACTCCGTAACAGCTGTAGCGTCTGTCCCTTCTCTCTGTCCTTGCGGTGCTTCCTCCTTACCTTGTTTCTCAGCTGAATCATTTGCATACAGGAGGTCAAAAAAACTGCCGAATAAAAAGAATAAACACACCTGCCCCCCGCAGGGCATGAACCACGTCTTACTGGCTTTGGAGACCCAGAACGGAGCTGACACGCCATCCCAGCGCATCTGCTGCATGAGTCACCCCGGAGGTCCCATCCCTGAGTCACACTCCTAGAGAATGGGACCCAGGGGACCGCTGTTAACAAGCTCTCTGATGATGCCTGTAACCTAATGCAGTGACAGCCCTGAAGAACCAATACATTCAGTCCACCCTCATGATGAAAGGAAGCAACCCCTAAAAGAAGCAGAAATGGAATTCAACCACTTTCCTGCCACCTCTGCGTAGACCTAGGACACACGGCCCGCTCACAGACATAAACGGAATACGTGCGCTTTCTGCCGCTGTAACACCGGCCTCTGAGTCACCCTCACTCAGTTCACATACCGCCACAGCCCGCTTCCACCATGTGCCCCGCAAACTATGCTCTTGACAATAACCAGAACAATCTTTAAAACAGCAAATCAGAGCCCGCCATCTTCCCCTCCCCTGTCCCACACCCTAACAATAGTTTCTCCCCACATCTGAAGAACAAAATCCAAACTTCGCCCTCTGGTTTACAAACCCTACTTAATCTGATCTGCCTAACCCTCTGGCCTCATCCCCCACACTCCCCGCTGCCTACAGTGCAACCACCCTAACCCTTCTGTTCCTAAAATACACCAATCTTTTTCCAGCCTTAGAATTTCTGCACTTGCTATTTCATCTGTCAAGAATGTTCTCCCAGATCCGATCATGACTAGCCCCTTGTTCCTATTCAACCCTCCTCAAACGTCCCTTCTCAGAGAGCTCTTCTCCCGCCCTCCAACCACAAGCAGCCTTCCAGCCACCTGCTGGGACAGCACTCTCTCTCAACTTCCTACAAGCTCGGTCATCACAAGCTGACACTCTCCATTGATCTGCTCATTGTCTATCTCCTGCCCACAAGAATGTAAGCTCTGTCCTGACCAGTGTGGCTCAGCTGGCTGGGTGCAGTCCCGCAGAGCCCAAGGTCGCCATTCCGATCCCCGGTCAGGACACAGGCCTGGGCTGCGCGTTCGGTTCCTGGTTAGGGCACATACAGGACGCAACCTCTCTCACATCGATGTTTCTCTCCCTCCCTCTCTCCCTCCCTTACCCTCTCTCTAAAAATAAATGAAATCTTAAAAAAAAAAAAAAACCCGTAAGTTCCATGACAGCAGTGAATCTACCTCGAGAGTACATTCATTCATTATTTTATGCCTAAAGGCTTAAAACAGTGCCGAGCATACAGTAGGAGCTCAATATTTGTACTCAATCTACTCTTATTTGAGGATCATTGTAACATGAAGTTCTAACTGTATCAAAGAATAAATAAAATTTCATACTTTTAATAAGTTTATCCATTGAGTAAATACAATTTGTTTAGTTAATGAGAAAGTAAAATTCAAACAAAATTATTTTTTAGATCTTCTAAATCATGGAATTATAAATAATCAGTAAGTCTAAAAATTATATTCACACCAAAATAAAATTATATTTGTCCAGCCACTAGTTTAAAAAAAAACTTTAACGTTGTTACAAATTTTACCAGCATGAGAGGAAAAACCCCCACTGTCCACCAACCAGCGAACAGATAAACAAATCGTGGCCTATCCCTACACAGGATTATACTAAGCAATAAAAATTAATTCTTATTGATACATACAACAATAAGGCCAAGTCATAAACTATGCTGAGTGAAATAAGCCAGACAAAAATGAGTGTGTTATTATATGATTCCTTTTATATAAAGTTCTAGAATAGTGACAGAAAAAAGATCAGTGGTTATGTGGGAGGGGGGGTAGCAAGAATATCAAGAGGAACTAGCAATCTTTTGGGAATGAGAGGGCATGTTCATTATCTTGATTGTGGTGACTGATTGGTGTAAACACATGACAAAACTTATCAAACTGTACATTTTAACTCAGCAGAGGTCGCACTCAAAAAAACAAATGATGTAATAACCAAGATGAAGGCTTAAACGTTATGGCTTGACATTAGTCACATACAAATGTGCAGCTAGTCATGACCTTGAACCTAGGCACCTGATATATGCAACAATATTTAAGAAAAAAGTTTGTGGCCCCAGCTGAGGCGGCTCAGTGGACTGCCTGCCAGCCTGCAAAACCTAGAGGCCACCGGTTCGATCCCCGGTGGGAGTACATGCCTGGGTTGCTGGCTGGGTCCCTCACTGGGGTCGTGTGAGAGGCAACAGATCCCTGTGTCTGTCGCACGTTGATGTTTCACTCCCTCCCTTCCCTTCTCTAAAATAAATATTTTTTTAAAAAAGAAAGGAAAAAATAAAAATGCTTGTATCTTTTCAGATGATCAGCTGCGACCTATGCAGCATTAAATATGTGTGACTTACTGAATGTCAATTAAACTTTTTTTAATCAAATCAGATACACATCGTTGCATAAAATCCTTCAATGGCTCTCCATACTCCAGAAACAGAAAATTTGTTACAAGCTTTATCCGCATTATAAGAGATGACCATTCAAATAGAATGAACAGCAAACTAGTAAGCTGACTCCCAGTAGCTGGTAAAAACCAAACATGTCTCAACAGATTTTAATTTTTAACTTCAACAAAAATATGAATAGTAAATTCACAAAAAACTTAAATGCTTACATCAAAAAGCTAAAAATGTAATACACACTCAAATTACCTGTAGAAGGTGGTGATTTCTCTGGGTGCTTTGCATTTAAAAGTTTTCTGCTAATAAATATGTAACCACAGGGACATGATTTACATGCAACAGGAACCTGCAGGGAAAAAAAAAGAAAAATATATTGTTATCTTTTTCTACTGCTAAACTTCTCAGTGTTTACAGCCTCCTAAACTGAATGATAAAGTACCTGAAGTAAAAGTCAGAGATTTATTTAAACCCTACCTTCTTCTTACAACAAATTATTTGAGATGGATATTGTGTCCTATACATCATATTATAAGGCTTTACAATATGATCAATATAGTAAATGAACCTAAAAAACAAAAACAAACGAAACAAACTAGAGCAGGAACAGAGTTACAGAAATGGAGATCACATGAAGGATTATCAACTGGGAGGGGAAAGGGAAGAATGGAGGAAAAGGTGCAGGGACTGAAAAGCCTAATCGGTGGGCACAAACTAGACAAGGGGGTGTTAAGAGCAGTGTAGGGAATGGAGAAGCCAAAGAACTCACACTCACAACGCATGGCTGGGGGGAAGGGGGGTGACAGGGAAAAATTTCAGACAACTATAACAGTATAATCAAAATATACTTTAAAAATAAGAATTCTTAAGCCCTAGCTGGTGTGGCTCAGTGGATTGAGTGTCGGCCTGCAAAGCAAGGGGTTTCCGGTTCAATTCCCAGTCGGGGCACAGGCCTGGCTTGTGAGCCAGGTCCCCAGTAGGGGCGCATGAGAGGCAACCACACACTGATGTTTCTCTCCCTCTTTCTCCCTCCCTCCCCCTCTCTCTAAAAATAAATCTTTAAAAAAAGAATTATTAAACAGGGTGGACAATTTCAATAGCATTAATCTCTTAAATCATAGTATAATTTGGCTCTGGCTGGGTGGCTCAGTTGGCTGGAGCACCATCGCATGCACCATCACATACACCAAAAGGTTGCAGGTTTGATTCCCGGTCCAAGCATATACAAGAGGCAACCAATCCCTGTTTCTTTCTCACACTGATGTTTTCCTCTCTCCCTTCCTCTCTCTAAAATCAATACACATATCCTTGGGTAAGGATTTAAAAATTAAAAAGCATTTAAATAATAGTATAATTTGAATTTTAAACAAACAGCCCAAAATTCCTTCAAACCTCAGTTGCTGTGCCAAAGGTAATGGTAATGAAAGTTCTAATGCTACACTTTTAGGAATTTAAAATAGAAAAAAAATCCAAAATTCTGTTTACTGATGGCTTATTGTGTATCAATTTATTTCTTGAAAAATGTATTTAGGTTGTATGTTTTACAAGTAAAATAAGTAAAAAAAAAAAAAAAAAACACAACAGCAAAAAACTAAATCCTGGTCCCATATTGTTTCACTGATTTTAAAAGCGCTAAAAGAACCACATTATAGAAAACACATTTATATTCTTTGCGCCTAGAAGAATCAGTTAACTATAGTGGATGTGTTTGTTGTATATCACACAAAATTTTCTACAAATGAAAAAAACCCAGCTGCTTTAGTTTTAAAAATTAAAGCAAAACAGAAAAATATACAAAAGATACCAGGAAGTGAACAAGAATCATGAATAGCACTACACACAAAATGGCTCAGTAATTTGGGTTTAGTGGATGTGAAACTCCCTTGAAAATGAAAAGTACGTATTGTGGTTTAGATGTTTCACAACGGTATTTTCAATAGAAGTATGTAAAAGTGATGTTCTAAAGCAACTACAAATCAAGGCCTGTCTTGTTTGCTGCTCTCTGTACCAGTTTTTAAACTTACACACAGAAAGTCTGTGTAGTTACAATTGGAGCAATCTCCCCAAACTTTAAAGATTTTACATTTATATTTATAAACTAAATTCCAGTTTCATATTTGTCAAGCAACTTAGCCTGTATGAGCAGTATTCTGATGTTTAAAAAATAGTTTTCGGAATTACAGTTTTTTCTCTCGTTTATAAGCAGCTTGCATTTCCAAGTTATTAGGATGCTAAAATTATTTTTACAACTGTTACATTAGTAAAAGATAAATCCCTTTTAAGAATCACCGAAAGTCTTAATCAGCGCCCTGCGCGTTACGTTCGCCCGCGCGGAGGGGCAGAGCAGGCCAGCATCCCACGTTCCGCAGCAGCCAAGGCTGCCCCGGGGCCCGCCTCCCCGCCCCGCAGGCCGCCTCCGGCGCGGAGACGTCCAGGTTCACCGGGGTCGCGAGGCGCGGCCGTCCGGACGGACCCGCGGCACCAGGAGCACACGCGCCGGAGAGGCCCCCTCTGCAGGGACAGCGGACGGCAGCCCCCAGCGCGCGGGAGAGCCGCTCCCCGCTGCCCGCATCACCCAACCCGGGCGCCGCGCTGGGGCGGCCGGAGGGGGAACTGGGCGTGTGAAACAAAACGGACGCGGCCTTTCCCAACGGAGTGGTGACCGCGTCTCGCTGAGCCAGTCACGGGCCTCCGACAAGTTCACCGCCCTCTCCTCTTTCTTTAGCCAGGATATCAAAAGCAGCCTATTTCCCCCCAAACGCTGCTTTACGCCAAGTAAAACGAAGGTCAGGACCCGCAGTAACTCGTGACCTGCGGGAACTGCAATGCACAGCGCGCACCACGGGCACCTCGCGCTTCCGCGCCAGCGACGGCCACCAACGGACAGGGCTGAAAACAGACTCCTTCCAAGGCATTTCATCGCCAAGTCCAGCTTCGTCAGAATTGAACAAATGCGGCTTATTGGTAAGAATGGAAGCTGAGCTCTTTCTTCACTTTGGAAAACTCGACGAAGTTATTTTTATAACGCAGACTCCAACTGCTCACAGCAATAAACTAATTCCCCACCCACGATCGGCCTCCGATCAGCATCTCACCGCTGCCCACGGAAAGTAAAAGACACTGAATAAAACGTAACATTTTCTGATACAAGATCTGAGCAACCGCTAAGGCTACTCCTTCAAGGATGCACTGAAAGCAGCGAATTAAAAGTCACCAGCCATTTTAAATTACTCCCGATCCAAAAAAAAAAAAGGAAAGGGGGAGGAGAGAGGGAGTCATTTTGAAAAAATTCTCTCGGTGGAAAAGAAAAAACACACCCAGGCCCGCATGTTGGCATGAAATAAGAGCCTCGCGAATGGTTTTAATTGAGAGTTTTAAGTCATTAGACTGCAAGGCTTTGAGGTACGTCTCTTATTCCAGCCAAGAAGGAGGCGTGCTTCAACTACTACACAGCAAAATGAGAATTTTTAAATTACAGCTCCGCCGCCATTAATTCTGTGCAGAAAGCGAGCATTTAAAATGCACGAAACCACGTATGTGTTTTTTTTAAAATTCTGGCAGCAGGAACGCCGAGGGTTTAACAGAGGACCCCGCGGGGCGGGGGCGGGGGCGGGGGCGGGGGAAGTGGGACGGGGTGGGGGGCGGCGTGAGGAGCGCCCCCAAGGGAGGGCTTCAGGGGGGCGCCATTCAATCCAGTTCCATTAAACACAACGTAAAGGAAGAATTCACGATGATTTATGTCAGACATAGAGGAAGTACACTTAGGAGGAAAAAAAAGCCCTCCAAATTCATCGAAATTTAAAACCACTACGCTGCGGCCTCTTTTGTCACCTGCGGGCGCGGCGGGGACAGTCCGCGGTCCCCCGCACACGGACGACGGGAACAAAGCCGCCCTGCCGGGCCCGACGGGGCTTTCGCAGCCAGGACCACGCGACCCCGCGGGGCCGAGGGGCTCAAGGGCGCAGACCCCGCAGCCGTCCCCCCGAGCCGCCAGGTCACTCGGGAACGAGTCCACGCCCCCTTTCGCGCCGCCCGCCGCAGGACCCACACTCACCACCTCCCCGCCGCCAGGTGCGCGCCGGCCCGGCCCCGCCCCCGCCCCCGCCGCCCCCCATCCACCGCGGCTCGGCCCGCGGTCCCGCTCCGCCGTGGCCGCCCGCCCAACGGCCGGCGCACCCTCTGCCACCGGAAGCCAGCGCCGCGGCCTCTCCACAGCCAACCGCTGTTCCAACGGCCGCCCGCACATCGGCCCGCAGCCCACCTGTTGGTCGCATTCGGGGCACGATTTGGTGGCCATCTTCACTTTCTTGGCTCGACTTGCAGACATGCTCCCCTACCGCGACGGCCGCGAACGCGGCGACGACGGCGGCGGCGGCGGCGGCGGCGGCGGCTCGGGCTCCTCCCCTTCCACCTCAGCGGCCCGGCCTCCGCCAACCGGTCCCGCTACCCACACTGAGGGGCTACCGGGTGCGCGCGCGCGCCCGCGCGCGTGCGCAAGGCCGCGCCGAGCCTGCGTTAAGGGGGCGGGGCGCGGCGTGGCGTGCGCTGGCTCCGTGGGACGTCAGACCGCTCTCCCACCCACCCGACGCCGGCCCTCGAGTGCGTCCGGATTCTCACGAGAGCTGCTGGCCCGACCCTCTGGCGAAACAATGGCCCCGCCTTCTCTCGGTTCGGAGGCCTGAGGGCGCGGCTCAGGCAGGCAGTGACGAGCGTCGGGCTCGACCTATGAGAATACAGAATGCAGATCGCTGCTGGGCACGCCTCCTCCAAGAGGAAGGAGAACGCGGCGAGAGGGAGTGGAAGGTAGAGCGCCCAGCAGAGGTGTTGACGTTCACGTAACGCAATTGTTAGCAAGTCTAATTATTGAGCAGATGTAGACATCTGATGAGTCGGCGCCTCGAGATATAAAACCGGTTGTCAAATATTTACTGAGGGCCCATTCTGCCACTCAAATGTGAATACCAGGAGGTGCTGCCCTCAACGCGCAGTCCAGTGTAGACGACCTAACGTTGGAATCCAGAGAGTTGTGTTGTTGATGGGAAGTGAATCAGCTGACTAGAACGTTCTATAAAGGTTTAAAATACACCTAGCCTTTGATCTAGCAATCCCATCCCTAAGAATTTGATGGAGAGATACTCTTCACCCCGAGTCCGTTTGTGCAAAGATGGTGGTGCCCTTTACAACATTGCTTGTCAGAGCAAAATCACAAACAGCCCAGGTGTGCATCAACCCGCTTGAGAAATGCATACAACGGAATATGCAGCTCCTCAAAAGAATTAGATGTATATGAGGTGAGGTAACGACCTCAAAAATAGTTCGTTGGAAAAATAAGGTACAGAACACCAAAGAAATAGGAGACTTGTTTTTCATGCCATCACCTATTACATGACTTCAATTTTCTACTAGTTCAACCTAGTATGGCCCTTCCTACCCTCCACCCCACCCACCCTACCCCCTCGCCCCAAAAGAGGAAAAAGGGTTTGTACACAGCTCCTGAGGATGCCACCTGACTCACCGTTGAGGACTTCGGTGGTCCTAGGAGGCTCTCCAGAAGAGTTGCCTCCAAAGCTGAATCCCTCAGGATGTCAGGCGGAGTTGCCCAATCAAAGACGGAGACCCACGAGGCAGACGGGCAGTGTAAGCAAAGGCAGCTGCGAGTTGTGGGGCACACCAAGTGCAGGGCAGAGCGAAGGCGCGAGAGGTGGGCCGCATTCAGCTACGCAGGCTTTCCTTCGCTACCGTAAGAGGGAGTCATCCTGAGGGCAGTAGTGCAATTCCGTTTTCTTTCTTTTTTTAAAAGATTTTATTTATTCTGAGAGAGAGGGGAAGGCAGACAGGAAGAGAACCATCCCTGTGTGGTTGCCTCTCGTGCGCCTCCTCCTGGGGACCTGGCCCGCAACCCAGGCCTGTGCCCTGACCGGGTGTCAAATCAGCGACCCTTTGGTTCACAGGCTGGCACTCAGTCCGCGGAGCCACACCAGCCAGGGCACAGTACGCGTGTTATGTTGGGGAGTAACAGGATGAGATATGAAGGTAAGAATGCTTGGTCCAGCAAAATGACCCATCAGGTATCAGACCTGATGCACAGGGAGATATGGAGAGTAGAGATGGGCAGGATTAAAAAAATAAGGCCACGGGGAGCATTTGCGATCCTGCTCCCCAGTATATGTTATCAATTTTAGCTCACATAAACTCATAAAAAATATAAAGCCATGTTAGCAAAATTTGGGGAGCTATTTTGTTGGGGGTTAAGGGCGGTCAGGGACATTTCTGGGATGACTCTGTTTCTACTGCAAAGGACTGGAGGAATAGACCTCGATAGGCGACAACGATAGTACCTCAGTTTCCCCTGGAGGAGAATGGTGGAGGGCAGGAAGCAGGAACCAGACCCTGCGATCCAGACCCTGGGGAATTTTCTGAAGGTGTCATTTGAATAGACCTTTTTTCTGGAATCTCCCAAAAAGATCACTTGGCTGGGGCAGGCGCGACAGGTCTTTAACTCCGGGGGATGGGAGAGTTAAGTGGGCGCTGTGGTGGACACTGACAATGGCCGATGCAACTGCATGCAGGCCCCCTCCCCCAGCCACCTGCAGCGAGGAGCGGTCCTGCAGTGTTCTCTCTGGCCAACAAAATATAAACTCAAGTCTGCTGAGTGGGATTTTTGGAAAGGTTATAGTTCCTGATAAAAACAAATTCATATAAAAAATTTTGTCTTTTGCCTTTCACTTTTTCTTACCACCTGGAGCAAGACCATGAGGTCCTGCAGGAACCATCTTATGACCATGAGGTATTGTAGTAATCTATTGTTATATAACAAATAACCACAAAACTTCGTGGCTTCAAACAGCGAACATTCTCTCAGTGCCTGTGGGTCAGAACCCAGGGGTGGTCCTGCAGCCTCACCTGAGTGCGCACCCTGGGGGGGGGGGACCCATCTGCGCTCACTCACTGGGCTGTCAGCAGGCCCCAGCCCCTCACCAAGGGGCTCCTCCCAGAGCCGCCTCACCACGCGGCCACTGGCTCCTCCCAGGATGAGTGAGCTACGAGCCAGAAAGAGCGTGCACGATGGAAGCCACAGGCTTTCCCTAACTTGGTCTCTGAAAGGGCGTCCCATCACTTCTGCTGAATCCTAGTAGAAGCAAGTCACGAAGTCCAGCCCACTCAGGGACAGGGAATTAATTACGCAAGGGCACGAGTGACAAGCAGGAGGGATCACTGAGGGACATCTCAGAGCCTGCCTACCCCAGGGGCCATGCATGGAATTGTGACCAATCCACTAAGACCAAGCAGGAAGCCAGAAAGTCCCTGGGTCTCCCGACAGCGTGCTGCGTGGCTGCCGCGGTCACGGCCGCATCCCTGAGTCCCATATAATGCGAAAGGAGGGAAGGAGCTCGAAACAAGATACAGCTCCACACCCAGCAGGACAGCATTAAAAAGACGTAACATCAAACGGGGGGCGGGGGGCATATAAAATGGTGCAATCACTTTGGAAAAATGTCTAGGAAAAAACATTTACACATAGCCTATGACCTAGGTTCTCCAATCTTAGGTATTTATCCAAGAGAAATGAAAACACATGCCCACAAAAAGACTGTGCAAGAATATTTGTAACAGCTTTATTTGTAATAGGCCCATAATCTGGGAAAAACACACACAAACGTCTATCAAACAGATAAATAGATAAGCAAAATGTGGTATATTAATTTAATGGAATACTAAACAGCTTTTAAAAGAAACAAATTATTGATTCACATAACAAAATGGACGAATCTCAAAAACATGCTTAGTAAAGTCTTACACAGAAGAGCACATACTGTACAATTTCATTTAATTCAGTTCCAGGACAAAACTATGCTACAGTAGAAAAAGATCAGTGTTTGCCTCCAGGGGGGGGTGGGTTAAGGGTGAGGATAAAATGAAAGGGGTGTGAAGGAAATTTCTGTGCTGGTGTCTGTATCTCAGTAGGGGTTGTGTTATACAAGTGTTCGCATGTGTCAAAACACATTGAATAATACAGTTGAGATTTGGGCGTTTTATTGAATTTAAATTTTACCTGAACAGGAATCTTAAGCAGACATGCTGAAGTATTTACGGTAAAATGTACTAATGCCTGCACCTCAAAAAAAAAAAATTACTACATGGGTAGGTAAGTAAAGCAAGTACAGTAAAATGTCAACAGTACATACTAGGTGGTTGGCACAAGTGATCACTGTATTTGTCAAGTACTTTGCATGCTTGAAAATTGTCATGAGTTATAGAAAACAAAACCTACTTATTTAAGCCACTGTGCATTAGGTTTTTCATTATTTGCTGTCAAACATATCCCGTACTTGCAATGATAACAAAGCAAGGATTTCCTATGAAGTGGATGAAACTGGCTCTAGCATTTATTCATTCATACATTTACTAGGTACCTACCATGTGCTAGATCTTGTACCCTTGATGGGGGTATGAGCTTGTGAGCAAAACAACAAAGTCCTGTTGTTGCGAATCTTACGCTCTAGCAGAGGACAGAGACAAACACATACTATCAGACAAATAAATGTATTACTACTGTGATCACAATTTTGAAGGAACAACACTGAAGCTCTAAGGTCACAGTCAAAGGGACCTGACCTATGGTGGCGTTGGGACAATCAGGGAAGACTTCCTTCAGGAAAAGTGCATGATGGGCAGTCAATACGGTGAAGAGGAATAGCGAATATTCCTCTTCAGAGAAAGCACATCATGGACAAATTAACCAAGGTCAAAGGAAACTAGAGGAGGAGAGTGTGGCTGAAGCGCCGAAACATAAAGACTCCAACATACTGAGGACAGGAGCTTGGAGAGCCCGTTTTTCACTGACTTTTTTTTTTTTTTTCTCTCCTCACCCAAGGACATTTTTTCAGTGCGTTTGGAGAGAAAGGCAGAGAAACACTGAGGCGAGAGAGAAGCCCTGATCAGTCGCCTCCAGGATGTGCCCACATCGGGGACTGGACCCGCAACTTAGGCATCTGCTCTGACCAGGATTCGAACCCACAAACTTTTGGTTATGGGATGATGCTCCAACAACTGAGCCACACGCACCAGGGCTCGCCGGATTTGATGCGATTCCTCACTGCGCAGGGTCTCTCCTGTGTGCCGCTACAGTGGCTGTAGCTGCCCCGGTTTCACAATAAGCAATTAGGCCAGGCGGGAGCTTCCTAAGTAACAGGTATTGTGTACTTGATAAACCAAAATGACTATTCAAAACCACTTTTTAAAAAATAATTTAATTACGTTTATTGGGCTGATACTGGTTAACAAGATTATATAGGTTTCAAGTGTAGATTTCTATGACACATGATCTGTATATGGCACTGTGCGTCCACTTATTCCTTTTTATAATTAGGACCCAAGCTATCTCAGGGAGCTGAGCAGAGTTTTGGGGGGGTGAGCTGTAGCAGCCTCCGCCTCCTGTCCCTTATTTTGATAATCAAACCAAGGTTCCTATCAAGGAGACTTTTACAGCTGTCCTGTCTTTCCTGGGAAAAGGAGGAGAGGCGTGCAGCATGTCCTCGCCCAGTTCCGTCACCGCCCGCACGCCGGGCTGTGACGTCTGCGGCCGACCGCCGTCGCTGGAAGTGCAGGTCCTCATGTCCTGGCCCACGCCGCGGTTTTAGAGCGGTCTGGATACATGGTTTCAGCTTCTTGACAATGCTACTGATAGCTTTAGAGCAGTAAAAGCGGTTTGGGTTAAAAAGCAATAATGAAATAGCTTTTTTGCACACCGCCAACAGGGAGCATCAGATCCTCTTTTGGCTGAATGATGGCTGAACATGTTTGGGAACTTCATCAACATCCAACCCTTGTCCAGGTCACTTTCCATTTCATTTTTTGTCACAGCTTATGATGCTCTCACAAGGCCTCTGCTCTGTCCAATCTTAAGGGACGGGCATATCTCCAACCATGCGCTTTGTGATCACCCATCAACCGGTGTCACCCACCTGTCCAACTGTTTCACCTTCCCTATGGCAGCCAGGTGTCGAGAAACCGTCGTAGCAGAAACTCCTAAGTCTGCCGCCAGGCCTCGGATCGCTGCTTTGGGGTTAGCCTCTACCCTGGCTCTCAACTGATCTTCATTTAACACAGACCTGGGTCTCCCTCGAGGCTCGTTTTTCAGACTCAGGTCCCCAGAACGAAATTTTTCAAACCACCACCGGATAGTCCTTTCACTGACAGAGCCTTCTCCAAAGACAGAAATGATGTTTCTACTTGCCATGGCTGCACTATGTCCTAGTTTAAATTCATACAAAAAAAGTATTCGCAAATCTTTCAAAGATATGGTACTGTTCACTTCTGTGGAGAAAACAAACAATAAACACTCAATCACCAAAGAAAACTGGAGAGCGTACTATCGTTATGAACAGTAAGCAGCGCAGCCGGACACAGGCCTGACGGCGGCTTTACCATCGCGGCTGGGTTTCACGGGGCCCGCGCTGCAGTCACTGTGCTCGGCTGCCATCAGCTTCTATCAGGCGGATGTTACTTTCAAGTCTTTTGGTTTTCCAATAGGAATACAATTGCCAGTAATTTTATAAGCATCTACCACAGAAGACATGCTTTTGAACTCAAAAGTGAGCTGCGCTTTGAACTCCTGGAACTCAATGCCTACCAATTTTTCTGTACTATCAAATTAAGATCTCAGATCAATATGGGGCTTTGAAGAGAATTCTCTCATAACGGGCTGATAAACACCTGTTTCTTATGTTTTCTGAAAGAGTTTTTTGAGGTCCTCTTCCCTGTCTCCTATGACCTGAATGACTGCTAATTCACGGCCTCTTTGTCGTCTTTCACCTCCCTACTCCTCCGTTCTCGGCTTCGCACTTAATGTTGGTGTAGATGAATAGAAACAATATATTTTAGGGATGTGAGAGAGCTGTTTGCCTAGGTTTGCAACCCTTGCCGCCCGCCCTTGCAGTCATGTATTCTAAACAGCACTAGAGTCCACTGTCCAGCGTGTTGTTTAAAGTACAACCATAACACGTGTTTCCTAAACCCACCGAAGGTTTTTAAAAAAAGGCTGTGGAGAGATTCAGCAGAATTAAGTTCTGAACAATGTTTGGGTGAATCGTGAGCAGTAGGGGGAAGGTTTCCTTTTCCGCAGCTTTAATCCCAGTCCCTTCACATCAACTTTCCTGCCTGTTTCCTCCCATCTGCTCCCAAGATGGTGAAGGACCCTTGCTTAAATTCTAAACCAGGCTGTTTCAAGTAAGTCCATAATTAATCTTTTATTACAAGAGCAGAACAAATCTGACTTCAACCATAATATATTGTTACCAAAACCCAAAAATATATATATATTACAACTATAAAATAAATATTAGGAAAGTGAGCAGCTCTTTTTTAGTCCCCAGTATACTGAAAGCAATTTACCCTGTTGTTCCCAAATGGAATAGAAATTGGGGGAAAAGGGTCCCATAGACTTATTAATTTATGCAAGAAGTCACCTCTTCCACTTCAAGCAAACATGCTAATTAAGATACAACCAAAAAACAAAAGTCTTTTTAATACAGAGTGAAATCCCAAAGAAAAAGAATTTCCCAAATGCATAAAGGTGGGATGGAGCTCAAAGCCACTGTGGTGAAGGGACACAGGACTAGAATTCTTATCTCAAAACTACATACAGCGCTGGCCGGGCAGCTCAGGCGTTTAGAGTATTGTCCCCATATGCCCAGGCTGCAGGATCCGGTCAGGGCACATAAAAGAATCAATCCATGAATTCGTTAAGTGGGTGGAACAACAAATTGGTGTCTCTTTCTCTCTCCCCGCCCCCTCTCATCCTTCCTCTCTTTCTCTAAAATCAATAATAAAAAAAATACTTGGTCATATTTGTCACTCTATTTAACCATTTGAGGAAATGGCCAATTGTTTGCAAAGCGGCTGCACAATTTTACACTCCTATCAGAGGTGTCTGAGAGTTTTAATTTTCTACTTCCTCATCGTTTGTTATTTTCTTTTTTATTACTGCCACCTTGGTGGGTGTGAAGTAGTAACTCATGATTTTAATTTGCATTTCCCTAATGATTAATGTTGAACATCTTTTCATGTACTTGTTGGCCATTCGTATATCTTCTTTGGCCAAATTCTATTAAATCCTTTGCCCACTGTTTTAATTGTGTTATTTCTCTTCTCATTACAGAAGTGTAAGAGCTCTTTATATATTCTGGATGTAAGTCCATTATCAAATATGTGATTTGCAAATAGTTTCTCCCAATCTGTGAGTTGTCTTTTTACTTTCTAGATATCATTTGCAGCAAAACGAGTTTTAATTCTGATAGTCAAATTTATTTTTTCTTTTGTCACTTACGCTTTAGGTGTCATCCTTAAAACAACACCGCCTAACCCAAAGTCACGAAGACTCTGCTGTGCTTTCCTCTAACAGTTTTACAATCTTACTAGCTCTTACATTTAGGTTTATAATCTATTTTGAATTAATTTTTGTGTACAATATGAGACAGGGGCCCAATACGATTCTTTCACATGTGAATATCTAGAATGGGGTCTCAATACCATCTGTGGAAAAGACTATTTCCTTCCCAGTTCATTTCCTTGTGACCTTCATTGACAGTCAATTGACAATTTTCCTGTCTATTTTTCCATGTTTGTTTCTCCATAAGAATTTTAAAATCAGTTTTTCTAACTAAATAACTTATTAGGAATATACTTACTGAATAAACCTAGATTTGTCAACTTTAAAGGTAAAGCTACAAACTCTAACAAATTTCAAACAAAATTAAAATCAGCAATTTCCTAGATAGTCTAAATCAGTGAACAAAATAACTAGTACTTTAAAACATTATGTCAATACTAAAACTAAGGTTCCTTTTCTTCAAGTTAGAGTTTTCAAATTAAAATTTCTCGTTTATATTTATTGCAAAAGTTATCAAAGTTGAATAAAAAATAAACAATGTTGTAAGTTGACTTATTTTATCTAATAAAAGCCAAAGATGTGCTTTATAATAGATTTTAATGTTATAACTTCACCAGCAAAAAAAAAAAAACTCACAAAAATTAATCTTTAACCTATATAATACAAATCATAAAAGGAGGAAAAGTGGTAAACTTGCAATTACCTTTAAAAGGTGATGATTTCTCTGAATTTTTTATTTGTACATACTTTCTATTAATAAATAAATAACCACAAGAACAAGATTTACATGCAACAGGAACCTGGAGGGGGGAAAAAAGAGAAAAAAATACATTACATTTTACTCTTTCATTAAACTTCTCGCCCTGGCCAGCATGGCTCGGTTGGCCCAGCAGCGCTCCACAGGGCGAAAGGCTGCTGGCTGGAGCCCGGTCAGCGACGGGCGGTCAGCCATGGGCCGGGACTACAGGTCGGGTGCGGGGCGGGGCGTGGGCCAGAGGCAACCAATTGGTGTTCCCCTCCCCTCTTTCTCCCTCCCTTCCTCTCTCTCTAAAAGTAAAGAAATAAAATCTTAAAAAATAAAGTATACATTTCAACAGACGTTTCCAAGGAAGAAAGGAACAAGACTCACACACACACACATCACTGATTATAAAAAAAGTGAAAAGGAGACTTAGAGTATGAACGAGAGAGGGGAAGAGGACCAGACACTAACAGGCTAAGAGGAAAAATAAAAAGAAACATCATTGTGAGACAACAGGAAAATACATTTATGTGTATATATACACATCTCTCTGTCCCTCGTTCCTGGCACAGAGCTCCTAAAAGTCTTGTAATTTCATAAATGCTAAGAGCACTAGAAGGAAGCATCTTATGTCTAATGTTTGGTCTCTGATCTCAATTCCTGACACGAAGTTCCTATACCTTGGCATTTCCTGAGGGATAGCAATGTCTTTCACCCTTCATGGTAAAACACTGAACAAAGGAGAAACAGAAGGGTATTTCCTCAACACGATAAAATGCACTTGTGAAAAAGCCACAAATACTATCGTACTCAACAGGGAAGACTGAAAGCTTTCTTCCCAAGACGAAGAACAAGACAGGCCTATCTGCTTCTGCTGTTTTTATTCAACATTGCAATGGAAAGCCAGAGAAATTAGACAAGAAAAGAAATTAAAGGCATCCAAATCGAAAAGCAAATCTATCTCTATTCGTAGACCACATGACCTTATACATAAAAAATTCTAAACACATACAATATATGAAAGCTAATGAAAAAATTCAGCAACGTTGCAGAAGACCAAAAAATAAAAATCAGTCTTATTTGTATAGAGTAACAATAAACAATCCAAAAAGAAGTAATTAAGAAAATAATTCTAGCCCTGGCTGGTGCGGCTCAGTGGACTGAGCGCCGGCCTGTGAACTGCAGGGTCGCTGGTTCGATTCCCAGTTGGGGCACCGGCCTGGGTTGCAGGCTGGGTCCCCAGTACGGGGCGCGCGAGAGGCAACCACACGTGGATGTATCTCTCACGCTCTCTCTCCCTCCCTTCCCCTCTCTCTAAAAATAATAAAACCTTTAAAAAAAGAACGAACATTCTGGCGCGGTGACCGACGCTGGGTGCGGGCTTCCCCCGGCGCGGTATGCCCCGCACGTCCAGCCCGGCCGGGTATCTTTGCCCGCAGCGGCCGTCCGCCGGCCCGCAGAAGCCGGGCAGGTGCCGCGAGCGCCCTCGGGACCGCCGCTCTGAAGTTGTTCCGCCCCAGGCGGTGTTTCTCGTCCCCTCGGAGCCCCAGTCGAGAAGAGCGTCCTGCCGAACCCGACACCAGGGGCCGTAGACACCGACGGCCCCCGGAGGACTCCGGTTCAGAGAGCAGGCGTTAATTCGGGACACCACGCCCAGGTGGGAACGCAAGTTCACCTTTCAGAAGGCGAGAGCGGTGCACTCCATTTAGACCAGGCGCCTAGAAGGACAGGGCTTTACGGGAACTTGGCATTCACATTATCCCACCAAAAATTCAGACCACGACAATCACCTGGGCATGACAATTGCTAAAAATCATGGTAAGATCACCGGTTTATTTAAATTTAAGAGAAAAACACCACTACACTACGGCCCCTTTTGTCACCTGCGGGCACGGCGGGGACAGTTCGCGGTCTCCCGCACACGGACGACGGGAACAAAGCCGCCCTGCCGGGCCCGACGGGGCTTTCGCAGCCAGGACGTCGCTCCCGCCGGGCACACGCGCGACCCCGCGGGGCCGAGGGGCTCAAGGGCGCAGACCCCGCCGCCGTCCCCCGAGCCGCCGGGCCACTCGGGGACGAGTCCACGCCCCCTTCTGCGCCGCCCGCCGCAGGACCCACACTCACCACCTCCCCGCCGCCAGGTGCGCACCCGCCCGGCTCCGCCCCGTCACCGCCGCCCTCCAGCCACCTCGGCTCGGCCTGCGGTCCGGCTCCGCCACGGCCTCCAGCCCAAGGGCCGGCGCACCCTCCGCCGACCCGCAGCCCACCTGTTGGTCGCATTCGGGGCACGATTTGGTGGCCATCTTCACTTTCTTGGCTCGACTTGCAGACATGCTCCCCTACCGCGACGGCCGCGAACTCGGCGGCGGCGGCTCGGGCTCCTCCCCCGGCACCTCTGGGGGCCGGGCCTCCGCCAACCGGTCCCGCTGCCCAGACTGAGGAGCTACCGGGTGCGCGCGCGTGCGCGAGGCCGCGCCGAGCCTGCGTTAAGGGGGCGGGGCGCGGCGTGGCGTGCGCCGGCTCCGTGGGTCGTCAGACTGCGCTCCCTCCCGCCCCACGCCGGCCCTCGAGCGCGTCCGGATTCTCACGTGAGCTGCTGGCCCGACCCTCTGGCGAGACAATGGCCCCGCCTTCTCTCGGTTTGGAGGCCTACGTGGGGGCGTGGCTCAGGCGGGCAGTGACGGGCGTCGGGATCGACCTATGAGAACACAGAATGCAGATCAATGCTGGGCACGCCTCCCCCGAGAGGAAGGAGAACGCGAGCGAGAGGGAGTGGAAGGTAGAGCGCCCAGCACTGGTGTTGGCGTTCCCTTAACGTCAGTAACTGTTGGCAAGTCTAATCATTGAGCAGACGTAGTAGACACCTAACTAACGTCATGTACCCAGAGTCGGGGATTGAAAATTCTTTCTTTTATGTAATAAATAATTGCCTAAGGCCCACTGTCAGGCAAATTTGAAATGCAGCAGCGTCTGCCCTTCACAAAACGCCGTTTAGCCTTTTAGACCAGCGCTACTTACTGTCCGCAGTGAATGACTGTTTTTTAACCCATCAGTCACTGATCTTACTAAATTAAGATAAAAATAAATTACTCGTAAAAGTGAAGTGAAAAAAATATATACAAATGCAAGTTCATTTTTTTTAACACCGTCACTCGTTTTTTTAAATATAGAATTCGACCGACATCAAATTACATTTCAATAAACAATAGGAACAAACGTCAGAAAGAAAATAATTTAAGAAACTGTACACTTGGCTCAGAAAATTTGCTAATCAGCATTTATGACAATGACTATTACACTGGTAACTTGTTCTATTGTAACTAAAACACAGTTAAGAGTAACATTTCTATTCTGCATATTAAATGCCTGTGAGCATACTTTGAATGGATACAATGTATATAAATATCTAAAGCTTTCGATGTGGTAAATGAGATTGTTCCTTCATTGGTCATGTATCTAAACTAGGTTGGATTGATAAAGGCATTACTTGTAGAGGAAAATGTATGTCTAAACTATTACTAAGTTCTCACTGTCAATAAAAGAACATCCAAACCTATAGAAACATTTTAGAAGAGTTTATCAGAGCCAAGATTTTGAGGACACGCCCAGAAGTAATATCGCAACTGACTGAGAAAATGCTCCAGAAAAATTACAGGTTTGCATTTTTAATCAAAAAAGAAAATGTAAGGAAGGTGCATGACATTCATTGGTGGTATATTAAGGAGGCAGTTTCAGAAAGGCAAGCAGGGAAATCTCTAGCACTGGATCGAAAGGAAAACGGTGAAACATACGTCTTTGACATTGGCGGTGCAGGATAGTTAGTAATTCACACTCACAGCGCATAGCGACGGTATGAGGGTAACAAGATGCAATGAGGGGTTCCGTGGTCTCCTGCTCTGGTGGTCTTGTGCCCTGGCGCCTGTGCTTGTGCCTTCGAGGGGTCTGGAAAAGAAACCTACTCTGACACTGAGAAGGTGTCACAAGAACACTGCACAGGGCTCGCTTAAGGTAAAGACTGGCCCTTGCTAAGGAAGCTACGGGCCTGGGTCGTGACTACCCGCTGTGACCTGCCCAGTTAGGAATTTGTGATCAGACCATTTTGCGGGGTTACTGTCTGTCACTGAGCCTGTCGGACGTGCCATGGGCAATAAGTCTGGGTGACAATGACGTTCTTCACTATTGTAGTGAGTCAACAAGTCCATTCCGCACTCAAGGAGCAGGGAGTTAAGTCCACCTCTTGAAGAGAGGTGCATCGAAGAATTTGTGGACATCTTCAAAAACCACCACACTGGCTGAAGGCAGGAGGCCTCAGCTCCTCACCACTGGGCCTCCCTCCATAGGCCACTTGAGTGGCCAGCCTCATGACACAGCAGCTGGCCTTTCACGGAGCAGGCAATCCAAGAGAGAACAAGAAAGAGTTCACAATGTCTTTTAAGGGCAAACTCCAGAAGTCCACTCATTTCTGGAGCATCGTATTGGTCACAGAGGTCAGCTTTATTCAGGGTGGGAAGGGACTAAATCGGGGCATGTATCCCAGGAAGCCGGGGCAACGGGGGGTCATGCTGAATGCTGGCCACCACAGGCAGCCAAAGGAGCAACAACCAGTTCTGCCGGGGCCGCTGGGGAGGGCTGGCTTCCCAAGGAAAGAGCCAGGACAGGTGTCAGAGGCGTGCACTTCGCCCCGGCTTTGATGCTATTTCTAACATTGCTCAGGACCCCCCCTGCGCATGGCCATCATTGAAGCCGACGCCCCAGTCTCCCAATGAGGAGTGAGACCGGGCGGGAGCTTCTTTAATAACAAGCACTATGTACTTGATGAACCAAAATGGCTCTTCAAAGCCACTTTCTGGCCTCCCTAAAATTAGGACATGCGCTTCCTCAGGAAGACAGACCTGAGGGGTAGCAGCTCCGCCTCTCTGCCCAGCATTTTAATTTTCAGAACGGCCAAGTCTCCGCCAAGGGCCCTTTAAAACTGTTATTTTTTTTGGTGGGAAGAAGGGCAGTGGGAAGCTCAGCAGGTCTTTAAATGAACAAATTTCCCATTTCTCTCAGAAAACCAGAAATAGCTCCTGAGTCCTGCATTAGAGGTCTTTGGTCATTCTTTTTTATTTTTTCCTCCCAAAAGCTTTGGAATCATCAAGGAGGAGCCTGCTCTGGCTGGTGTGGCTCCAGGGCCTGAGTGTCTGCCTCTAAACCGAAAGGCAGGATTCCCAGTCCCCAGTAGGGGGCGTGAGAGAGGCAACCACACAAGGATGTCTCCCTCTCTTTCTCCCTTCCCCTCTCTCTAAAAAAAATGAATAAATAAAATCTTGAAAGAAGAAGAAAGAGGATGAGGAAGAGGAGGAAGAGCCTGCCTGCAGAGAGTACAGAACTAAGGGGCAGAGAGGGACGTGGCCCGGGTGGTCCCCGTGAACGCGCAGCTCCAGGCGAGCCTGACGCCTGTCAGCGTGCGTGGCTTTCTGGTTACCTGAGCCAACGTGAGAGCTCAGCTCTGATCGCAGTCTGAGCTCCCCTTCGCCTTCAGGGGCGTCACCCTGTTCTGGACATGAACCTCCTGTTCTCCCAAGTCCCCCTCAGGGCCTCTCTCCTTCCAGAGCCGGCCGGCTCAGCCTGGCTCCCTGGCTCCTGCCCCCAAGCAAAGCAGGTGTCCTTTTGTACCCAGACCCCTTTGGGTCCCTTTGTTCTGATGTGTAGGGTGCTCTCCCCACCCCCAGCACCGTTGGCTGAGCTGAGGGGCTGCCCTCAGGGCCCTGGAGTCAGCCCTGGGTCCCTGGCCAGACACGCAGAGGAGCCAGGGCTTGGCTTCCGCCCGCCCCTCCCAGCTGAGCAGTGACCGGCCGGCGGAGAGCCTCGATGTCAGGCAGGCCCCCGAGACACAACCCGCCCTCCAACATTCTCCCGCGGGATCCGGCTGAAGCTGCCCTCCATGGACTTGCCTGAGACACCCCTGCCTCCTCTTCTTTGCCTCACACTCCACTTCCCGTCGGCCCCAGAAGCGCTTCCTTAAGAAATCGCTTGCACAGACTCCTCCTCTAAGCTTGTGTTTCTCGGGGGGCCTGACCAGGAGCTGGCACCGGGGGCCACAGCACCTGCAGAGCAGCTTCTGCCCCATCAGGCCTGTGGATGGCGGCAGCTCCCTAGCGTCACTAAGGCCAGCTTGCTTCCCTGGGTCCCTCTCCACTGCCTTTCATTGAACAGTCCCCAGACACCCGTTCAGAGTGTGCTACCTGTTTCCTGCCAGAACCCCGAACCATCAATTTCCCCATTGCAGGGGTTTTCAAAGTGTCTATCTTCTGTATAACTCATAGGAGCCCTATGGTTTAGAACGAGACACAAGTGTAACATTGGGAAACAGACCACCCTTTGCTCCATCCAGGCAGTTTGGCTCCGGCGCAGCAGGCGCCATACGCTAAAGGAGGGATGGTATGGAAAGACGGATTTTGAGGTCCTTCGTGGTCTGAGAGCAGAGGCCATGACCGCCTCCCTCCGAAGGGCCCTCAAAGGGTCTTCCAGCTGGAAGCGGCCGGTAAACAACTTGCAAAAGGTGACCCCCGCCACTAGGTGGCAGCCGTGACACGCCGGCGCCCTCGCTCACCGAAGTCATTGCCAGTCCCAGCCAACCTGGCCCCGCGGTCAGGTTTCACCGTCCAGCGAAGCCGGCGCTCCCACCGGCTCCCCACCCTCAGTTCAGGGGCTTCCGACGCCTCCAACACGGAAGAGCTGGCCGTCGCCCAGCGCGTGGGCGCCGGGCCTCGCTGCACGGCCAGGGTCACGGAGCGTTCCTACTTGCACCTCTCTCTGCGGCCCGTTCTCCGCGCATCTGTTGCTGGACGCCCAGGCACACCCCGAGGGTCTCAGGGAAGGAGGCTGCAGAGGGTAGAGTCTCCGGAGGAATCCCTCCTGGTGCAGGAAATAAAGGCGTTGTTTGGATGCCCCTCCCTCTCGCTAAGTGGCTGACCCCCACAATTGCTTTAACTGGTGTCCGCACCACCTTTGGATTTAGCAAATGAGTGACATGAGTTCAAATCACTGTGATCATAAAAGGCACTTTTAGCTGCACGTGTCCACAGCCCTGTGAAAATGAGCGTAAGCCAAAGAAAAAGATGGGAGAATTGTTCAGTTAATAGCTTTAAGAGCCATCCATAGGATGCACACTTAGACACAGTTATATCCACGCGAGTTTTCGGCAAGGCTGGATCGAGGTGCTGGCCAAAAATGATGAATATAGTTGTCTCCATCTCTTCCCTTCTCCCTTGAGCTCGAATTTCCAAGTGCTGAAAGAACTGAATATCGCTAATATTGCACAGAAATTTGCCCCTGAGGAGTTGCTTTCTCCTTAGATGCACATCCAACACGCAGACGAACTCTTCATAGTCCCTTTCCCAAGACTCCGAAGCGTGACCTGGGTGCAAAGCTATCCCAAGACTGACACACGGAAAGGGCCTTGGGGAGGACAGA